CTGATTGACAGGTCTCTACCAGAGACGTATACGGCGTCTCTACATCAGATGTAGGAAATCGTTTTAAGTTTTTTTAAACGCTGTCCTCAGGGAGAAACGATTTGGTGGACATGGTATATGTTAGTGTTTTAAGGACCCTACCTTGTTGAGAGTTTCTGTCGTTGAGTAGCTTGGTCTGACTGTTGGGCAGGATCTTAATCTCAGGAGGATCTGGACTCTGACCGACCCGCGACGCCATAACAGCGTTCAGATACTGGAGACGAGTCACCTACAAGACAAAGCCAGAGTTTAGTGTTCCCTCTAAACCAGCTCCATGCACTGAGTTTAATAAATCTCACTCTGTCATTAATCTATAAACCCATTCTCGATGCATATATTTCCTGTGTGTGTGTATTATTAGCAAACTGCTGCAGTAACATGAGAGGTTTTCTAAAGGGAGTCTGGTGCTCAGAGACACTACCACTTTAGTCCACAGGGGGTGCCAGAATCAACACCAAATGAAAGTTCCTTGTAGAAACTTTAAACGTATTATTCCTTCACTGTGAATGAATTAAAGTAAAAGTATGAATCAGGGCATCTTGGAGTCTGATATCCAGCTCATATACTTTTGACACAACTTTGGTCTGAGACATCCTCAAATCTCAGTGTGTAACTGAAAACACACACACACACACACACCCGTATGAGCTGCAGGTCGGTGAGCGCTCGGACGGTGTAGTCGGGACAATAGCTGGACGGGCTCGTGGCATCCGCTGACTCAAAGGGATCCCTGGGAGACTGACACTGGGTCGACACTGGAGACTGGTGCACTGCAACACACACACACACACACACACACACACACACACACACACACACACAGTCAGCACAATATCTGCAATCCTGCCACTTCTTCTTGTCCTTTTTATAGACATGTGCCGACTCGTATAAAGCTCAGTGAAGTAAACACAGAGGAAAAACTGCCTCGTCATTCATTTTACAAAACCGTGAACTTCATGTTGTAACCGCACGATGACAGAAACTGCAATAATATAAAATATAATAACGTATTATTTCTTTAATAGAAACATCAAAACATACATTTTTATTGTATATTATACTGTACTAATATATATATATATATATATATATATATATATATATATATATATAATGTATATATTAATTTAATATATTTATTAAACTTCTGTTCTTTTTAACTCTAATAATAATATAATAAACAATAAATTTTGGCGACGGTCACAATTAACATAGTAAGACAAAATAAAAATAAACAAGTTCTGCAAGAAAAGAGCTGCTCAGGTTTTAAAAAGTAAGAGGACGTAATGTACAAATGTTCAGTCTTAATAATATGAGCAGTAAAGATTTGCGTTAATGTAGCGTGTAAGTTAGACGTCCAAATAAAACTCTGGATTCAACAACAGCAGCTCTGATCACTGATCAGTCATTACGGAGTCAGCTCTGTGTGTAACTGTGATTCTCCATCTCACCTGAAGAGGGCAGCGTTAGTGCAGAGACTCCGTAGTACGTGAACGCTCCGTTCTCAAACTTCAGCCCCTCTTTACCGATCTCCACCTCCACTCGACCCTGAATACAAACAGGAAGCAGCGACACGTCAATGTCACAATATCTCATGTTTGATAAACAAAAAAGTGCTCTTTGTGTTTTCAGTAATAGATAATAAATAAGCCATGAAGTAAAGTGTTATAACAACATATGTTATAAAGAGAAACGGTTGTTTTAATGGGATTTAAGCACCGTTTTAAAGAAAGTGATGCGTTTGTTTTGAGATGTTTGGAGACATAGAACTGCAGCAGTTGACTGAGAATCTTCACTTTTTAAAGTTTTCTTTAGTGTCAAAGTACAGGAGCTGATAACAGCTGATTCAGCAGATTTTTAATGTTGCCAATTTGCCAAAATGTGAAGAAATTACTGCTACGCAATTTGCTCTCGCCGTTTTGGGGAGAAAGATTTTGTAACGCTGAAGCGACAGGAGGAGAGTCGGGTCAACTTCTTCATTTTGTTTGTTTTAATTATTACTGTGAAAATACATTATTATATATAAACTTTAATCTTGGAATATGACCCTAATATGCTGTCATATTTATCTAACCTTAAACTAGACATAAACAATATAAGTTAAATAAAGTTCAGAGCTCTTTTCTTCATAAATACGATGCATTAACCTTAAAGTAGTTCTATGAATGGAGTCTGGTGTGTTTGTAGAGATCAGAGATAACAGCTTCAGTGTCTGACATCAAGGTAAAGAGGTGGAAACATTCTAAACATAACGTTCACTTAAACTGATAGAGATTCTTTCAGGAGTCTAGAATACGTCCACAGAACATGACTTTGTGTTCAGTTGGTGAACTGTCCCTTTAAGGTGACTCCGTGTGAACCTGCAGCACTGACCTGCAGCAGCAGGATGAAATAGTCCACCGGGTGGTTGCGGGTGTAGAGATAGTGAGCCGGGCTCAGCCGGTTGTTTGGGTCAAAGTGGACTTCCTGGTTGACACTGGGGTGACGGAGCAGGTGGAACAGGACCTTCTCCGACATGCGGCCAGGGCTGAAGTGTGCCACCTCTGCAGGGGGCGCACACACACACACACACACACACACACACACACACACACACACACACACACACACAT